AATTTAGCCTCCAAATTGATGATTGGACACAGAATCTGGTATGTTATCCAATGTCGTTCTTTGTTGTTTGACATCCAGCTAATATTGAGATGTTCACCAAAAATTACCAAGGCTTTCCCAGAAGTCTCTTCAAGTCCATATTAAAGTTCTGTCATCCTCTTCTGACTCAGGTTTGTACAAGAAGTCTAAGGCTCGGGTCAACAACAATATTGGAAAGATTCTATTAATCTTCCTTGAATCAGGATTCTTATACGTTCTTTTATGGGTGTGTTGGTCAAGAACTGTCTGCGAGCCTTAGAGGAACATATATTAACTTAGTGCTGCAGACAACGGGCGCTGTCATTGAAGTCCGCATGCCAAATGGCAATGCTGACACATTCAAAAATGCGTCTTTTCCTCATCTAGCAGTATGTATCTTTCTATTCATTTTACAATGAAAACTCAATCAATTTCATGGTACCCAGGCTATGTACCCTCTCATTATTTTTCTTTTGATGGCAACCAAGAAATCACAAATGGACATTGACATGCGCAGTTAGTTTCTGTTATCATTTGTGCATTCAATGTACTACTTAGCCCAAGTATTGTCGATGATAGTGTTGAAGCGAAGTATAGACCATATTGTAAACAATATTTGTTGTTAAGTTAGAACACAAGGCCTCCTTGTTATATATGCAAAAGCCATTACTTAGTATCAGCTTCATCTAAATTGATACAGTCTAGAAAAATTAACTGCTGACTCGCTATACTTCCCCTTCTTCCATCGGAAAATCTGCGAATAACAATCTTTTTTTTTTCATTGGGTTCAAACAATATTTGCGCTACTTACTGCGATAGAGGATAGTCAGATGTAGACATCGAGTTCTTGCTGGTCTTGCCGATTGTCGGTCACAAAGATTGTTCAATGGAGTCCGGAACGACCTTTTCTCCCACTTCTCTTTTTCTCGCTTCGTTAGCATTCATCTGCTAGGATTGTCTACCAACTCTACATTGTCCTCTGTATCAGCGGGTCTTGACGCAAGGTTTCCAAATATATAAGGTGAGTTTTTAGTAGTTTTTGGTTTACCTCTCCTTTCCGATGTCCCCTTCCACTCAATATACCGTGACGCATCCGTTTCCAGATACGTTCGTTTCTGCAAAGAGGAGTATAGGCGAGGATAACGCAAATACGTTGGTATTGTGTTGAACCGTGGCGTAAGATTTCCCTCGCTCACGACCGCGGTCGTTACTTTGGTTTGTTCAACCTCGTCGCAAGTCCGTGTCTACATAAACAAATATACTTTAATAGCGGAGTTAAGTAAGATCAAAACTACCTCAGAAATACTGTATGCTTTCAGGCTAGTGCGAGCCACCAAGGGAACAATGTCATGCGATTACTATGTGTATCATACATACCACCCTTCGTTATCCTCGGCTTTTAGCAGTCGCGTTGCTATCGATCGTTAGTGGTAAAATATGTTACATGAAATGATCATAGACCTTTCGTCAAACCTGGGACTTGAAGTTCCTAAGCTGGTAACTGGTATGCCGCCGTTGTTGCTAAACGCTCAAATTTTTCAATGTATCTGCGTGTAAACAAACTCAAGTAAAAACAAAGAATAAGACATTGAAGAAGCGGCTCACTCTTTCTTTATATACGCCAACTGAATCAGAATGGATCTCATTAAAGTCCGACCGAAACTGAGTTCAGTACCTTCGCTATACATCAAATCTATCATCGAAGGGTGATGATAATGGCATAACCACACAAACTTTTCATATACTTACTCGATTGAGAAAAGCGACGGTAGATAAGCCAATAGTAATAAGTACACTTTATATAACAGGATAATGACAATACATAATGGTAGAGTAGGTAGATAAGTACAAAAAACGTTGCATGTAGTATTCGTGTTAAGGTTCATGAAAACTTCGACAATTGAGAAAGAAAAGTCAACCTCGAGAGCATACAAGTACGAGGAACGCAGATAATTCTATAATCACCACTGATATCCCTCTCTCTCTCTCACCCGAGTTTGGCGTATGAGTCAAAAGAAACCACCCCTTCTAAAGCCCCTCTGCCCACTTCCTAACTTCCTCTATGCTCTCCTCCAACCTCTCCTCCTGCGTCTTCTTCCCATCCATCTCACCACCATTATCCTTCCCCTCGATCCATTTGAACCCTAACAATTCGTCAGGCATCCTCCTCTTCCCTTCATCCTTCTCCAAACAAGCATCCACAAACTCTTCCGCCTCCTCAGGAAACCCTTTCTCCCTCTCTCTCGTCTCATCGTCCACCTTCCTCACAACACCTTCCCGAGTCCTAGACTGAAACAAACGCGGAGCGGGTTCTTGCACAATCTGGTGCATGAGCTCGATAATGGACATCGTCATCCCACCTCCATGCAACGAAACTCCTTTCGATTTCCGGCGGGACGAACGAATGGAAGAGACCGACGAACGCCGAGTTCCTATAGGACCAGCACCGTCGGCACCAGTTCCAGCATTGGCACCGGGAGGTGCACCGCTCGGAAGCGAGAGCGAAGAACGAGGTGTCCTCGTGGGAGGAACCAAGTTGAGTGAAGCTCGGGGATTTCCATTGGTCGGGGTCGGCGGAAGATCCTTCTCTCTAGTTTGGAGCGATAGGAGACTATCCGGTCGTCTGGGTCCACCGGGAGGAGGTGCTGGTGCTAGACGGGTGGGTTCAGGTCCGAGTTGGGTCGATGTCCGTTTGGTTTGTTGTCCATTATGTCCGTTGAGTGAGTGGTTGTTTTTCCTGTCCCCAGCATCTTCGACGTGACCGTTAGCGTTAGCGTTAACACCGTTGGTCACCCCGGCATCTCCATCTTCCTTTTCTTCTTCGACTCTGACCAGTTGCGAGTTAGGTCTCTCTCTGTACGGCGTAGGAATGTCATCATCGTTATCGTTGTAGTCCCTAGAAAGAATAGAAGAATAAGTTAGAACCACCGGTTGAGAAAGAGAATCAAAGATACTACTCACGGATAAGCGCCGGCCTCCCCATCATCGTCATCTGAAGACCCAGAATCATAAAACGGGAATCGTCCATGGGCAAGCTCGATCAAAGCTATTCCCAATGACCACACGTCGGATTTGACCGAGTACTCTGCGCCTTGTATGCGTTCAGGCTTTACCCAAACCGAAAGAGAGAAAAAAATTAGTACAAAAAAAAAAATAAATCCAAGCAAAATAACTCACGCTCATGTAAACACTCGTCCCTACAAACGTGTTCGCAAAACTGTTTACGAGCTCGCCAGACACTCCAAAGTCGCATAGCTTGATGGAGCCCGAGGTGGAAAGAAGGATGTTGGAAGGCTTGATGTCTAGGGAACGAATAGCAGATCAATCATTCGGTTTGTAGGAGTGAATAGAAGGGGAAGGCGAGCATGAAGGTAGGTAACCACCTCCTCTCTACAGCCGTATAGACGTATCAAGGCAGTTCGGGCTATTCCTGAGTACAAGAAACGCACGCCGATGAAAGCCGGAATAGTCCAAACCGACGAGAAACGGCGAGGTAGGTAACAGAAAGAAAGAATATGGAATGTAAAGGGCTCAAAAGAAGATAAGTAGAAAACTCACCTCGGTGTATCACTCCGCACTCTGTATGAAGATACACCAATCCGCGTAACACGCTCTCCGCTACCCGTTTCACGATGTTGATAGGAATGGGACCTTTGAGGCGAGACGAAGGGGACTTGTAGATATGGTCGAAAGAACCTGTTTTAGTAATCAGTCATAAAAGCTACTTAAAGGTCAGAGCGAAAGAGACGTAGACTCACCCAATTCCATAAATTCCATACAAATGCACATATTCACCCCGTCTCCATCCATGTAAGCACCATAGTAGCTGACGATATACGGCGAAGACGCGCGATGCAAGATACGTAGTTCACGCAAAATCTGCTTGCGTATAGAGGGCTTTGCGTCGATGAGGACCAACTATAAAACCAATCAACGCGTTTTCAGAATTCGAGTTAGAGAAAGAAAAAGACGCATATACGCACCTTTTTAGCCATGACGACTCCGCTAGGGACATGTAAAACCTTCATCACGCTCCCTCCGTTCCCCATACCAAGTTCCGAGATGTTCTGGAGGTCCGAAGGCTTCAAGGAACCCTTGATTTTGGACTTGCCGGATGAGGATTTACGTGACTTTAGTTTCGGACGAGACGACGACTTGGATTTAGATGACGTAGCGGAGGTAGAAGAAGTCGTAGGAGGAGATGATTTCTTGGGCGTCAACGCTGAAGCGGACGCACTCGAGTCACCACCGTTGTTGCCGTTGACGCACTCCTCGGTTCCATCATCATCACTTTCATCAACGCCTTCACCTTCGCCTTCTTCCTCCCGTTCTTCTCTCAGCTCCCTTTCTCTATCCATCTGCCGCAGCGTACCCATCAACGTAGCTTGGAGATTCCTCTTTTGCGTCGTCGATGACTCTGGAGTAAGCAGAGCCAAGTCCGAATCACCTGCGCCGTACCCTCTGAGACCGGAGCCTAACCTGGAGTTCGGGCCAGAGTTGGTTGCAGAAGGAGAACCGTCCGGTATGACCAATGACGGAGGCTGGGGTCTCCCGGTCGTCGTACCATCTCCGACCTGAACAGAATCCAAGAGAGAAGGAAGAGTTGGAATGGGCGGAAGAGGAGTATGGATGATAGGTGACGCGGTAGGAAGTTGGAGGGCCTTGAAGTTGCGCTTTTTGCGTAGAGACCCAGGACCGTTTCCGAGACCAGAAGAGGTAGGCGCTGCTGCTGTCGAGAGGGCGGAATCCGACATGTGGAAGAACGAACGGCTAGTTTGGATGCTTTGCGATCCAGCAGAGAGAAAAAAAGTAAAGGGAAAGCAGAAGACACTGGTTGGTAGGGAAACCGTCAATCTTGTCGACGACCGCAAATCCAAAAGAACACGTGGATGGTACTTCCCTTTTTAGAATATCAACGACGTGCTGGCACGAGCACTGACATATTCTCGCTTTCATTCAATCAATGCACCGCCATGATATCTGCCCGCTTAGCTCAGTGGTAGAGCGCGCCACTCGTACGTCAAGTGCAATGGTGAGGTCGGTTGTTCAATCCAGCCAGTGGGCACTGGGGCACTGCAACACTACTAAATCTTTGTTTCTTTTTTGTTTCTCGTTTTATATATCCTTACTTCCGTCTTATAAGGTAGCTGCGTAGAATCTTCAGAGATATCTTGAGCTGTAATTTCTTTCTTCCTCCTCTATAAGCTCTTACCGACGCTGAATCTTTGTTTAGGGTTCCAACCATGGATATCGGACACGTCACTGGACCTTCAAGGCTTCGGAAAGCGCTGCAGAGCCATGATCTTGACGTCGACGCAATCTTTTTTTTTATTCACACATACACCGACTCAAAATCTAACCGTCTACACTCGCGTGGCCATGGCTCTGACTCCAGTAACACTGCCCGATTAAGGTGTCACCACTGTTTCGTGGGTATTCAGACAGTCTTTGTGAAGACTGCGATCCAGGCGAAGCTATTACACTGGATACTCGGTGTAGGTAGCAACCGGATTCGTGGCCGCAACAGGACGGCGCCAACTTTCTTGAACCTGTGATCTCCTCCCGGTGGCTGTGGTAAAGGGTTCCTTGCTATCGCAACTAAGTAGAGGACTTTCGGAATCCAAGAATATATCGATGTGAGTACTTATGAGTAAGACGAATTAACCCTCAAGCAATCGACTACAAGTAGCTTTCATTCCAACGGAGAGCTAACTCCAACTGAATAACCGACAAATTCGAGTCACGCTTCTCCCGAAACCTTGTCTTTATCTTTACGTGCTACCACCGCCCGTAGTTATCAAATAACACAGTGTCAAAGGCACGTTCGTCTTTGAAAGAATTCAGAAATAAGAACCTCCGGGAGTCTAGGTAGCTGACATGAAAGAAGATCTGCGTTTCTCTTGTGAATTTCTCTGCGCGTGCATACTCCTAGTAAATTTCCGGGAGCTTTCGAACGGCAGAACCACCAAAGGGATTCCTCCTGCGCCTGGGATTTCTGGCAACGCAAAGAAATCCTTTCCTTCAATGGATTTACTTCGGACTGGACAAGGTGGAGTGGGACCCATAGCGCTCATTCACTCTCATCAATGACTATACATCTCAAGAATTACACGCTTCCCAAGATACTACGTTTTTTCCTACTAAAAAAATCTAGCTTCTATGCTTCTCTCCGTGAAGAAAGAGGTTCAGTGATTGTAGCAAGTAATATTCACACATACGAGTATTACTCCGTTCTCGCCGTTCAACCAAGCCCGTGCTGCAAGGCCCAAAGGGTGTTCCAAATCTGCGAAGTAAAAGATCGACAGCCATGGACGCGGCCGAATCTCATGAACTTCCACTCAATCACATGAAAAGCTAACGTCACGATTGCAACAAAGTTTTGAAATTAGCCACTGATCATGGGCTCGCGTTAAAAGTGGTCGTGAGTGATTATCTACCTTAGAAGTACACGCTTTCTGGCAAGACGGATATTCCTCTTCACCGAGTTTCTGGCTTCTAAGTTCTATCTGTGAAAAGATACATTGATGACTTCTAAGAATCGTAAATAACCTTCACACGTAGGAGTGTTACTTTGTTCTCGAAGTCTACAGGGCCGTATTGGCAATTATGTTTATTTCAAACTCCTAAGAGCTCGCCGGCTTCAAATTGTCTAGTATAGGATCTCAAAAACTTTCACTGGACAACGATATAAGCCACCGACTTTGGTTCATGTTAGAAAGGTACCTACTAACGACGAATACTCGTTGTATTCTCAGGCTTAACCACTCTAGCTACAGTCGCATGACGATCAACAATTTGTCTTCTTGGCTGAGTCGAAGCTTTCGTGGGTACTGGTGCCTCAAGTCTGACGACGATTGCTCGAGTACAGGATCTAAATTTAAAGCATGCGTCCCTGAAACTGAGTCTGCACCCGACTAACATAGATTAAATATTCCATCGAACTTTCCGAGTTGCTTCTTGCTCATTTCCTCATTTCTGCCACTTCAATCTTATGATCGCAACAAATTCCTCCGAACATATAGAAGACTCTCTTATTCTGTACCGAGGTCTTTTGTGTATAGAAATCGCGCCTACGATTCCTCAAATATTTATTTTAACCTTGGCGTAGAATAAAAAGCTTATCGCTCCATTCAAGAGCTATAAGAAAAATGTGATGGAACCCGAGGTAGAACAAAGGACATCTCAGGGTGTTTGTTAAACGAGCATTACACGAGACAGACAAAAGAAAAAAGGAACGGTTGTTTACGCTCTGGCTCAATCAACTGGATTCAGTACCAATAGAAAGCAGATTTTCAAGATATACGCTGGTAATCAATGATTCCTTTGTCAGGACTCGGGCCCTGACATAATCTGGGCCAACGATTGGTAGTAAGTACTGAGGGTGGCAATAGAGAAAATCATTGTATGTAACAGTACAATGCAAATCAATAGTAACCCGAGTGACACAAACCGTGATAGAATTACTGTACTTCAACAGCTTGAGAACAAACGTCTCCTCGGCCACACTCAACTCAAGCGGTTTTTTGGGTCCTAGATTCTTACACATAGCATCATCTCAACTTTAAATGCGCAATAAGTAATAACCCTGCTCCCCTCCTCAGCACTTCCACTGCGCTAACAGCCTAGTATGTTTTGTATTCCTTTCCTTGGTTTTCTGTAAACGGCGATCCGCCATAATATTGGCATCAATTACATGACTAAGATCGTCCCGCAACTGTACCCTGGGATTCTGTCAGTGCCGCCACGGCGTTTGCCTTTGACCTAACGAAAGCCAGCTTAGTCCACAGCGGAGATTCTTCTGTTCTGCCGCCAATTCAGTCTTTGGTACATCTCTCCGTACATTATTCGCACCTACCCGCTTTTACCCATTACAAATAACACTTCTATTTTCGGTCTGAAAAGTCGTGGCGTCGATGCTTGCCAGGTCTGTGGCTCAAGGTCTTCCTGATCAAGGTACAACTTACCTCACTGATACTTCTTGGATGTCGAAATCGAGGTTTTTGTTGAAAACATAGGACCGAGGTTACCCCACATTCAATTGATATTTAACGACTTCTCGAAGAAATTTCTGCGCTCGGATCCGAGATCTCTGAAGAGCGCTCTCTCATGATGTCAAGAGCCAATGCACTGTATGGACAAATACGGACTCAGGCGAAAGCCTTGGCAAGAATCCAAGGGAGATTCAATTCGTTGACTCTCCGTCCTCTGCGGGGATACCTCACAACTCCACACGCTCGGAAGACGAAAGGACGCATACATTTCAGCTTGAAATAATTATCAACTGGTAAACTTTCTGCCGGTTCAAAATCGTCGCGTGCTTCAGGAATCCCACTCCAGCACTCTTGCCATTGGGATGAATTATTAGGACCCAGGATCTCTGTGAAACGGAGTTTGACATAGAAATCTACGCACCTTGCGTTTATCATGTATTCAATTCTTCGAATGATCGACTTCTGCAGCCTCCGCCAAACGACGATGTTCAGTAAGCGAAACCGTCTTGTACCCTTTCTATCCTTCTACGGCCTCTTCCGACAGAGTGACAAGTTCATTGTCCAGGGGGTTATCCCTGTGTACATACATCTTAGCCACTGACTTTTCCTTTCAGTCCACAAACACATTCGAAACTAAATGGGACCTTAGTAAAATACATACTCGACCCTATTCTGGAAGCCGAGTATCTTAAAATTCTAGCCGCCGGAACTCATCTCGTCCTTTCTAATTGTTCCTCCCGTCCTAGTCAACGTTGAATAGTAACCCGACTTCTGGAAGGCCATCATCTCCGGTCACAGAGAGTATGACGGAATCTGACTCTGGGACCTTCTTGATATGACACAAATGTAATTCCGTCATGTCATAGACTTAACAGAATGCAATGAGCCTTACCCCGTTCTCGTCACGACGAAGACAATTGCGCCCAGGCATGTTCTTCTTACCGACTCTTTCGCGCCGAGAGTTTTGTCGGAATTTCGACCGCAGCGGAGTCCTTACTACGTGGCTCTTAGCTCCAACCAAGGCAAGTTGGATGATGATTCATTTTTGCCGCCGGTATCGTAGCCCCGTTCTCAGTAGAACCCATCTGCAATGGGAAATTTGAGCGCTTTTTGTTGGCTCAGGATTCTCTGTTTTCTATTGGACTCCACTCCGAAGAATCTCAATGATGGCTAAAACTGTGTTGGTTGAACATTCGTAGTTTTGTCAATCGATTCAAGTTTTTTATTAGCTCCATTTTCACTTTCAAGTGGAGCTTAGATAAATTCCGTTGTAGAAGTTTGCGCCACGATTAGGTACACCTCAGCACGAAAGATTGAATCATAGGCGTGCATATACATGCTATAGTGGACAGATATGAATGTGCTGGGACAAAATCTGCAATTTTTTATGCGAAGTCCTCCCTCAGTGAACTTTGATGCTCTAAATCTTTGATATGTATCAAATACAGTAAAGAGCGAGACAAGTAACTGAACAGGAATTGTAGTTGGAGAAGTAGGAACAACCGTGATAGGTCGTCGATCTCAGTGAAGCTCGTAAATTTTTCCATGGAGGAGATTTTCACGTATAATCCAAAATTTACTGAGATATCAATTCACAGTGACGACATCGAGATATCGATGGAACGAAGGCAAGCAAGACTGCCTGTAACCAGAGACTTTTCAATATTTCTCTGACCTGTCCCGATTAATCGCTCGGCGCTCTCCACTAATTTACAATAGAGAATGAAGGAGGGCTTCAAAAGAGTGTTCAGGATGCTTTTCGTTACTTTCCCGTCAATGTAGCATTTACCCTCACAATTCGAATTCATAGCAGACCGATTATAATCAAAAATCAGACACGTCAAAGTTGATTAAACAGCGATTTTGACGCTTTCTCGAGTTTGAAACCATCAAGCCATAAATCACTTTGATGCGCCCACAACTGAGTATGGATCATCCGTTTAGTAAAACCGACAGTTTGGGAATATCTTAATAGCTCTAAGGTATATGCGCATGAGATCAACTACATGGCTTTGGAACTGATATAGATTTACATGTAGCTGTAAGGTGCAATCGGACCGAATTGTAAAAGTAC